CTCTTGACCTTTGTCTGTGACATCCAGCCAGAAATCCGTGAAAACTACCAGAGAAATGGATGGGGAAGAAGGATTCACCTGTTCCATGGATTGGCATTTTACATTTTACATGCTCTTTCACATGGAATAGGAGTCCTGGTGTGGCGCTCTGGGCTGATGCGTTGGACTGCAAAGTAGTTTTGAACCTCATGGTTGGTGGTTGAATCTCACCAGCCACGCCTCGGAAACCCTGTACAGGGTCTCTGTGAGTCAGAACTGACTCTATGGCACTTACCAACAACAGCACATGGAATAGCTTTAGCAAAGGTAGAGGGTTTTTTTTTGTGAAAAGGCATTACGTTTTCCTGTATATTATATTGCAGGTTCCTGTACTTTTTGAAGAGGAGCAAACCTATTACTTTGTATAGACTTAGAGCTTTTCCAAAGATTTTATCTCTTTACCTCATATCTCTTACACATTTAATGGGTATACACTTTTCCTACGCTTTTTAGCTGAAGCAACATGTATGACAATATGACTTTTCTTTGTTACATATGTAGTACAAAAACAAAACAATTCTTTAAGAATGAAATGGTTTGAATATTTCATTTCCTTAAAGCTTTCTTGAAGGTCAGGGGCTTTATCAATGAAAAAGTTGCTATTGTCGTTAAGTGCTGTCGAGTTGGTTCCGACCTATAGTTACCCTGTTTCTGAGAAACGACTGGTGAGCTTGAACCGCCAACCTTGTGGTTCAAACCAACTTTGCAGTCCAGCGCATTAACCCACAGTGCCACACCAGGACTCCAATGAAAAAGTGGTGGTGGTGGCCGTGTGCCGTCGAGTCGGTTCCGACCCATAGCGACCCTGCACAGGGTTTCCGAGGCTGTAAATCTTTACGGGAGCAGAACGCCTCATCTTTCTCCCGCGGAACCACTGGTAGTTTCGAAGCTGACCTTGCGGTTCGCAGCCTGATTCATAACCACTATGCTACCAGAGCTCCTTAAGTATTAAGTAGTTATTTGTAACTTGTATGAACAGCAGCCAGCCTTAAAAAGAATTCTTTGTTTAAGGGTTAGAACAATAAATACAGATTTCCTCCCTGTCTGAGATTAGAGTGTTCTGTGAAACTTTACGTAATCTGAGGTGACATGAAGCAAAGAAGCAATTACTATTATTTATATGGGAAAACTTTATGAGCCTTCCCAGGCTCCCCTGCCCCGCAAAATAGCCTACCAAATCGTACCAAATAACACAGAAAACCTAAAATCACACTAACACGTGGTATTCACAGATACAGTTCAAAACTGTGCTGGGTTAATGCTGAGATGTGAGTGCAGTTCTCAGGGTAGGGCTTGGTGATGTCACCTTGTTGCTTGGTGATGCTACCGCTTTAAGAGCTGACTGTAAACCACTGCTAGTTTGGCTTTCCCTACTTTTTGTTTTTTTAATAAAAGTAAAAATGTTTAGATTCCTCATGAGCACAGTAAAGTGTTTTGGAATACCCATTTCTTTGCATAGTTTGCCACGATCCACACAGTTGAAAGACGTTGCCTAGGCAGTAAAGCACAGATAAACATCTGTCTGGTATTCTCTGCTTACAACTATGATATCCCTAGTTCTACATCCTCTTCTGAATCCTGCTTAAATTTCTGGCAGTCCCCTGTCGATGTACTGTTGCAGCTGGTTGTGGATTCTCTTCAGCAAAATTTAAGTTGCATGTGATATTAATGATTTGGTTTGATAATTTCTGCATTTCATTGGAATGGGCACAAATATGGATCTCTTCCAATCAGTTGGCAAGATAGTGGTCTTCCAAATTTCTTGGCATAGATGAGTGAACGCCTCGAGTACTTCATCAATTTGTTGAAAGATTTCAATTTGTATTCCATTCATTTCTGGAACCTTGTTTTTCGCCAATGTCCTTAATGCACCTTGGACTTCTTCCTTCAATACCATTGACTTTTGATCATATGCTATCTGTTGATCATTCACCATTTCCTTTTGGTACAGTGACTCTGTGTATTCCTTCCATCTTCTTTTGATGCTTTCTGTATCATTCAATATTTTGTTCATTTGTTGTTGTTGTTAAGTGCTGTCGAGTCAGTCCCAGCTCATAGCGACGCATAATGCCGTTGGGTTGATCCTGACTCAAACTCACCAAGGAGCGGCTGGTGAGTTTGAACTGCTGATCTTGTGGTTCAAACACACCTTGTGGTCCAGTGCGTTAGCCCACAGTGCCACACCAGGGTTCCATATTTTGCTCAGAGAATCCTTCAATATTTCAAGTCAAGGCTTGAATTTTTTCTTCAGTTCTCTGAGCTTGAGAAATGCTGAGTGACTTTTTCCCTTTTTGGTTTTCTAACTCCAGGTCTTTGCACATTTCTTTATAATACTTGACATTGTCTACTAGAGCTGACCTTTGAAATTTTCTATTCAGCTTTTAAAATTTCTGATTTCTTCCATTTGCTTTAGCTTCTCTGTGCTGGAAATCGAGTTTCAGAGTCTTCTCTGACATCCATTTTGGTCTTTTCTTTCTTTCCTTTTTAATGACCTTTTGCTTTCTTCCTGTCTGAAGTTCTTGATGCCCTGTCACAACTCCTTTGGTCTTTGGTCATTAGTGTCGAGTGCATCAAATGTGTTCTTGAGATGGGTTCTGAATTAGGTGGGATATGTTCAAGGTCATATTTGACTTTCGTGGACTTGTTCTCTTCATCTTCAGCCTGTACTTGCATATGAACAATTGATGTTCTGTTCCACAGTCTGTCCTGGCTGTGTTTTGACTGGTGATATGGAGCTTTTCCATCATCTCTTCTCACAGATGTAGTCAATTTAATTCCTGTGCATTCCATCTAGTGGGATGTCATGTGTATCGTTGCCTTTTATGTTGTTTTTAAAAAGATATTTTCAATGAATAAGGAAGTCATTGGTCTTCCATGATTCGGTCATGTGGTCGCCAATACCATTTGGATCACCAAGGCCTTATTTTCCAA